ATGGAAAAAAACAGATGTGTATTTTCTCTCAATACTATTTAAATATTTCAATAAAGTGACTGCCTGCTTTTGTAATGAAAATGTATGTGATGAATCAGGACACAGAAGGCACACAGTATTTAACATAAGGACGTAACACTAATAATTGTATATGGACGTTAATGTCTCACAAACACACACAGACACACTTGTTGGTAATGAATTATCTTGGCATCTGATATAAGCAAGGATTCTCGCTGTCTCTTCATTCTGGGAAATCCTTACTTAGTCTTAATTTAATTGTGGCCCAACAATATGCTGCTGCTGTAAAAGAGCTCCCATACTATCTGTTCTTCAACATGCCTTACTGTTAGATGAACCAAGTTAATACAAATATTTTCAACATGTAATATCTCCTGCATTGCCTGAATATAAACCGGAGAGTATGGGTTGGGGGGGTGGGGGAAGCCATTGGACCTCACTGTTCAGTCCTCTCATGTGCCATCTGAGTGAACTGTGTGCTCTGAATAACATGCTGATCCTGTGATTGCTCAGTATCAGAAAAGAAATATTTGCCAGTGCACTGGATTCATAGCTTTGATAGGTACAGTCAGTGCTGCCTCACTTTTCATTTGGAACAAAGCTTTCTCCATGCGCACCCTGGATCTCTTTTGGGCCTGTGTTAAAGGTCCTGCCACTAGGGGATGTCAATATTTTATGTCTGTTATTTAAGACATTTTCTTTTTGTGCCCTCCAGCAAGCACCCTTGCCTCACCGCCGAGATCCAGACATGAAATAGGATTACATTGGTTAGGTCCTTCCTGGACTTGGTATTTATTAGAGTGCTCTCTCTCTCTCTCTCTAGGATATGGAATGGGATGCAGAGATAAAATTTCTAGACACCATTAACGGTTGCTTCTTGAACCAGCTAATCCTGGAAACCACAATAAGAGAGGCAATTCTTGATTTAGTTCTAAGTAGCACACAGGATCTTGTCCAAGAGGTGAATGTAGCTGAACCACTCGGTAATAGGCACCATAATGTAATTAAATTTAACATTCTTGTAGGAGAGGAAATACCAAAGATACCCTGGTTGCCTTTATAGTAAATCTACAATATCTCTGTTGCAAATTTATAGTTTAATTTGGTCTCCCAGTTTGGCACAGGAACTCTGCACAGTTCAGATGAACATTCTGTGTCTTTTTAAGTAAAATATTTGCTAATAGAACTAGTCAAAAATGCAAATTTTTTTGTCAGGAATTTCCAAAATATTTTGCTTTAATAAAATCCTGTGGAAATGTTTCAGTTTTCAGTGAAAAACCAAGAACCAAAGAAGTTTTGGTCTTCAAAAAAACATTTTTGGTGCACACACACACACACACACACACACACACACACACACACACAACTAAATTAAAATTAC